GTTGAAAATTAATAAGTATAAACTCTGCATTGCACAATTGAATCTAATGTATTGGAACAAAGTCAATCTGAACAATCATTAAAATTCTATTCTATTCTATTCTATTCTATTCTATTCTATTCTATTCTATTCTATTCTATTCTATTCTATTCTATTCTATGCTTTCTTTTAGGTTGCCTTATGCCACTTTTTCTTTAACCTCTTTGGTATCCTCCTTTGGTATCCGATACCAGCCACTCGTTTACCCATACGAATGGCCTCTGCACTCGGAAAGTGCGCTGCCAGGTATACTTTTAAATATCTTATATTTCATTAAAGGCAAACCAAAAACCAACACATGGTTTTATTACAAATAACTAAAAGAAATGCTAAACAAATGAAACCTTCATAGGTACCGCTGGTTTGCTGTCCTCTACCTCGTCCTGTTTTTCCTGCTGTTCCCTTTGGTGGTGTTTGTTCTCTCCATGGCTGGCTGGAAGGTGTTGACTGGAATTGGTGTACCAGTCATAATATTGATTATATCTGTAGCAACGATAAACTTCCTCCAATCACGGAGACCTGAGTTTTTGCCGCCAAAACTGCAGAACTGGAACTTTCTTCCTGTTTGGCTCACTTCACTGCAGCCAATGGATGACCTCATTACCAGGGTGACTCTTTGGTGTAGACAAACCAGAGGTAGATATCCCCCTAATAGTACCTGACACAATTACATTTTTCTATTTGCTGATGATAATATGGTGTTCTAGACTGTCTAAGGAGAAACGACGGGCCAGACGCCACTGCAAGAGGAGAATGGAAGGAGAGCAAGGAATCACCAGAGACTGATGAAGGCCAAATAAACCAAAGAAAACAATATACACTGTGTTCCAAATTATTATGCAGACTGGATTTAAGTGTCATAAAGATTAACTTTTTTGTTGTGCTATTAAATTTGTAGATGGTGTTGTGTGTCAGGTCTCTTTGAATTCATCCATTTTCTATACACCCTTTTCCCTTGGTGGGGTCAGGAGGGTTGCTGGTGCCTCTCCAGCCAATGTTCTGGATGAAGGGCAGGGTCACCCTGGACAGGTCATTGGTCTGTTGCAGGACAAACAACCATGTACACCAGTCATGTGTTTGGACTGTGGGAGAGCTGCTGAGAGAGAACCCACCATTCTCAGGCTGGGAATTGAACCCAGAACCTTCTTGCTGCAGGGCAACAGCTCTACCAACTGCACCACTGTGCAGCCACACTCTTTAAATCACTATAATTAATTTCAGAGACCTGGGTTGATTAGTTTGGTGAGCTCAAATAAAATAAATCTACTTAGCAAGGATGTTCCACATTACTAAGCAGGCCACAGGTTTCAAGTGATATTGGAAAGAGAGCGAATCTCTCTTCTGATGAAAATCATCAGATAGTGTCGCGCCATATGACAAGGCATGAAAACATTAGATATTTAACGAAAACTGAAGCTTTATTGTACTGTGAAGAGATTTGTGGCTGATTCAGAACAAAGATGGGTTTGTGCAGATAAAGGCACAATGAGGAAGGTTTCTGTTAGACAAATTCATCGGATGAAGAGAGCAGCTGTTGAAATGTCCTTACGAAGCAGCAAACAGTTATTTAAAGCTGCTGGTGAAACCTGAAGGTGGAGGATCCTCCAGAGGCTTGCTGTGCATGAACCGACTATTCGGCCAATCCTGACCAGGCTCACAAACAGAAACGGTCACAGTGGACCCAGCCGTACATGAAGATTACTTTTCAAACAGACTTGTTCACTGATGACTGCTGTGCAACCCTGGATGGTCCAGACGGATGCAGAGATTATCCACAAACTCACAAGTTCAATGGATGCAAGAATTGTGCAGGTGATATAAAGAAGGGTCCTACGTTAACATGTAACTCTGTCTGTTAAGATGTTTTTGATTGAAATGGCTTTTGATTTTATTAAATGTGACCACTTAATGCTGCACATTCAAAGAATGACTGCAGCTCTTTATAATCCATAAAATGTTTAGAAAAAATGCTGTGCAATAATAATTTGGAACAGTGGATTTTAAGTTATTTATTTTTGAAAGAAATATTGTTCTCATTGGGAGGTTTGTTCAGTAATATTTGATTTATACTGTAATAGTTCATGACTTGAAAATTATACTGACCATCATTTGCAATGACCGTTTAAGAAAATCGGAGAAAATATCAGTTGCATAATAATTTGGAACATGGTGTAATCCTAGTAGTTGGATATTAAAACACAATGATGAAAACAGAACAAAGAAATCAACAACTAACAGAGAAATATACAGACTTTCAGAATTGGTCCACTAAACTTTAAACCACTCACTCATTATGCTCTTTTATGACCAGCAGTTCTAGAACTACAGCGTATGAAGTTCATCATTTACATGGTTGTTGAAGAAGAGTTTATTTACTCAGGAAACTTTTGGCTTCAATGTATCGTGCTCATACTACAAGTCTAACAAAAGTAACACCTTTCTCTAAATGTTGGTACGCTTGGTGTGGCTCAACTGTCATTTAAATAAATATACACAAAAAGACCAAAACCCACAAAGATTTCTTAAAAGTTAGATTTAGGACTGAAAAATTATGGTTGTGGTACTGTGTAAAAATATCCACAATTGTCGAGAAGATTCGAACACTTAACAGTCTGGTTTGTTGCGTGATTGAAATGCGAGCTTTTCTCTTCACATCCTGTAACAAACAGATAGCTGAGGTGACCAAAGTACCTGTGGTTTTTTTAACTGCCTCTCTCTCGCTCAGTTTAAATGTGTTTCGTTTCTGTTCCTGTGAGAACTTTCAGAGATGCTGTCAGTCAGAGACACAGGAAACATGAAGTTAATCGTCTAAAAGTCGTTCATCTCTCTGCACATAGTTTGGAAAACAAATATTTTTTCATTTATTTAAGACTGCAAAAGTTGCATTACATTAAAAACCTTTAACATTAAAATTGTGTTCCAAATCATCTATAAATATCTGGTGTTTTAATAACTTTCTTTAATGCAAACCTTTTCATGCCAGGGTGGCAGCATCAAAGTCAGTGACAAACTGAATAAATTGCTGAAGACGTTTGTTGCACTCTGCACTGGACTTCCTGGAGTTATGAGTGAAAAGATGAAGGTGCTTGACAAGTTAAAAACATCTTTTCATCTTCAATAAAATGTACCAATTAACCAACGGTGACTTCAGCTCAATGCAGCTGCAGCTCTGTGGTAAAAGCAGCAGAGCTGCTCCTTCCTGCCCTCTGCACTGCAGCCTGGTACAATGAAGAGTTTTTAGTGTTTTGGGAAAGTTTTCTTTACAATAAAATGGTTCAGATTTGAATTATTTGTATATAAAATATATTTTCTCTGATGTAATGTAGGAGAATATTGGGGAGAAAGCCAAATAAACCTATTCTAATTTAGTTACTTTTACAAGCAACATCCAAACACATTTAATAAAATGTTCATCTGTGAGTCATTCTACTGCAGATACAACATATTTATGGAGTGACCTCTGCTAAGCACATCCTGTGAGTCCTGAACTGGACCCCTGCTTGTCTTAAGAACTCTCCTCATTTTTACTCAGAGAATTTTGCCCACAAAGATATGATAGCATCATCAGCAACAATAATCAAAAAGTTATGGAGTCTAGAAACCTGGTGATTTTATCAGTTTTTAAAAGAACTGCTACCATGTTTCATAATATGCTGTGTTTCAGATCTGAAGAAACTTTCCCCCCTTACGCTGTGATGAAACAGTCCAGCCCTTCGTCAGAGTATGAAATATTAACCACCACCTCTGCGTTTCAGTCATCTTGTGGGACCTTTGAAAAGAAACAAAGCCCCAAATGGAAACTCTCCTGTCTGAGTGAAGAACTGATGTTTTCCACCACCTTTGTTCTTGCAGTTTTCTTTGTGGGCTTTGTGTGTTCCTCATGTTTATGAGTGAGCACCTCCAGTACAAAAACATTAATGCATGATTAATTTAAGGTTTTTAACTGGGCAGATACATACACAACCACTCGTTAAAACCTAAACTGATAACATGAATAAAATTATTTAAAGATGCACAAGTTTGCACTCTTGTTGGGAAAAGTCTGCTTACTTTTAGAGCCATTCACTGTCATGTCAGGAGTGTTTTTGATAGATTAAATAAACTTACATGATTTATAACAGATAACAGATGATTTATGGTGAAGAGCTAACTGCTGTGGTGGTCAACCTGCTGTGGTGGTCAACCTGCTGTGGTGGTCAACCTGCTGTGGTGGTCAACCTGCTGTGGTGGTCAACCTGACAGGACTCAAAATAAGTCAGTCTGGAGAAGGATGAAGGTTTTGAAGCCATTTCCCAGCACAAGTTAGAGCTGACCTGAATGAAACTAATGTACTAATTCCTGCTCATGTGTCTGACCTGGATAACAGAATGGATTATTTACATTTTAAGGGTAAAATTTTAGACTTCAGGAGAGTCCACTCCTCCAGGAAGACATAATTTTCAATAGTTAAGAGTCCAGATAGTGTAGGACATAGGCCTGGATTTTACCTGACCAGGTATGGTATCTCTGTGATAAATGCTTACAAATAGCTAAGATTATACGTTGTGGCAAAAAGCAACCTGCTGCAAACCCAGTATCCTGACGGCATGGTGCAGATCTGTGCTACCAGCAACATGGATTTGGGTTTCACAGTTTGGTAGAAGTGCACTGTGAGATCCTGGATGCTAAAACTTGTTGGCCAAAAATCAGTTTGATCTGCTGGGAAAATCTATTTACTGCTTGAGTTTCAAGAGATGTGGATTTTCTATAACTGAAGGAAGACGAATCCATATAAAAATACTATGAACGAATGAAGTGATGTAGCAACTTAGAAAGGGCTATTCTGGTCATTGTTCATTAGACATGTTGTTTTATGTTTCTGTCTAATGGGGACATTTTGTGACATTAAATATGTGCACCTTTGCTCTGCTGAAGTTAAATACTCTCACTATTTCTGTGTTGTGTTCCACATTTTTCTGAAAATGAGTATTGATCAACATAACATAAAGCTACACACAATCTTAGCTTTTAACTCATTCTCTGACTGCAGCCAAAAATAAAGCTAACCTGTAGCTTAGAGTTGCACTCAACACCATAAGGTGTTTCTGCTTCCTTGACTCAGATCGCTCCACTTAAAAGGAAGGACAACATAAAGCCAACCATCTGTCTGCAGGTCCATCTCAACCACAACGGTCAGCATCAAATCCCCGTGAGGCTGGTAAGCATTTAAAAAAATTAGAATCCATGTAAATGAAACTCAGACATACTGTAGAATTTGAAGAGGTCTCACTGAACTTTATTTTGCTAAATATTTAAAATCAATAATCAAATTGCCGGGTTTTCTTTGTCAAATTACAGAAGCCTAATCTTCTTCTTCTACTTTCATTTTTATTTTATGCACATATTTAGAGAATTTCTTCAGAATGATGATGTGTGATGACTTTCAAATATTTATGTGTTTTTCACAGGAACAATGATAGCTGTCTTCATACTTTTTGCTGCTTTTGTTGCATCCGCTCTGGCAAAAGGTATTTTTCAGTCCAGTTCTTAACCATATCGTAAGCATAGCATTTGGTAATTGATTTTTAAAAAAATAAAATAATTCTTGGATAAAGAATAAAAACTTTTAATTTTGCATGTTCATATGGAATTATGCTTCCAATTTTGTTTCTCTAATTTAACCATATGTATCCAAATATTTTCAATAAATTTGTATTATAGTGGAAGTCCATTTATTTCAGTAACTCGGTAAAGTAAAACACTTACGGATTAGTTATTCACAGGATGATATTTTCTGAGTCCTACTTCTGTTGACTATGACTATTTTTAAGTTGCAGCTAATGAAAATGTGAGATATATGATTAGAATAATTGGGAAAGACATTTTAAATGGGGGTTAATGAAAAGTATGTTTATTATTTGAAACATAATTATTTTCAAAAGTACTTCAATCTGACCCGAAGCTTTTCTTTGTTTCTTGCAGAATCTATCGAGTGCAAATTTTATGACTCCACTGGAACTCAACAGTGTTATGGATCAGAAGGACAGCAACTTATTTTTCACCTTTCAAAGACAGAAATGACAGATTTTAGATTGAGAAAAGATGGCGAGTACGTATTTTTAATAACATACAGTAATGGGAAACTCAAGGGGAACTACGTCAGTCAGTTTGAGGAAATCCAACCTGGAACATTCAGTCTGGGAAACGCCGTGAAGAAACATTCTGGACATTACTCCTTTACAGAATACGATGCTGCTGGACAAAGCATCAGGGACGTTCTTGTCCACATAAAAATACAAAGTAGGTTCATCATGATTATCCTGAAAGAAATGTTGTGCTTACATCTTTCCTGTTGGTGATTATTGTGATGTACAATAACAATTTGCTCAAGAATATAGTTTGTATCCATTTTACTACAAAATATATAATTATTTAGTTTATTTAAGATTTTTAATTATAAATTTCTACCATATTAACCCATTTTAGTTTTGCTTAATTTTATTATAACTTCTTTTTTTTCTCTAAAAATACCTTGGATACTGATCTTATGAGTGCAAAGTTTTACATACATTTAAGAGAGCCTTTAAAACCTGAGCCGTAGTTCCAAGACAGACTGAACTTACACGTCTATTCAATAAACAGAGTTAATGTGTATAAACATAAAAAAACAAGATTAACAGATTAGAACATTGATAATTCAAAAAACAATATGTATTAATGTATGTACTAATGTTAATAAAAAAATTGTAATATACAGGTTATATAATCAAATAAGTTTTATATTATAGAAATAATTTACATTTCAATGCTGCATAGGTAAAGAAAATTATAAAAAATAAGTTGAATGATTTAATCCTTGTTTGTTCTTCATGACTTCATGTTGCGTTTGCAGAGCCACTGTCGAAGCCAGAAGTGTCTCAGAAATGTTCTTCACCTGATCAGAAGACAGTCACATGTTCTTCTCATGGAGATGAAGTGGAGTTCCTTCTGACTTTAGATGGTCACTCACTTATACACAGCAGAGGGACCATCAGCAACTGCACGGCTGAAAAATGTAATGTCACAAATGTTTGCATCAGCGTACATGGCCAGCTGACAGGAGGCCTCAGGTGCCAAGTCTGGAACGATGTCAGCAGAGAGGATTCAGAAATTCACTTAACAGCATGCGAAGGTAAAAAGATGTTCCTTTCCATGTTTTCACTAACATCTTTTAAATCCGATTAAACTTTTCATATTCTATCAGTAAATAGAAGATATTAGCATCAGATTTTACAATTATTTTTTTGTATTATCATCAAACATGCTTGTCTTATATCACAAAAAAAACTGTACAAAGAAGAAAATGAAAACAGTTCAAAGGCAAAATTAAAATAATAAAAAAAAAAATCCTTACCAGTTTCTTTAAAACTTCCAAATTGGCATCAATACATTTATCATTGATCTAACATTATTTTTCGTGTCTTGTTCAGGTCCTAGGAGCTTTATTTTACCAGTGTTAGCTGCTGCCACAGCTGTTCTTTTTGTGGTTTTAGGTTTCACTGTAATTAAGTTTTGTAAAAAAGGACAACCAATGCCACCAAATAGAGGTAAATAAAATATTTTAAAACATATATTAAAAATGTTGCTCCACATAACATCTATTTATTTATCAATTATAATTTTTATGTTTACTTTTTTTAGATCATGCAGAAGAGAAAATTATCTATGCAGATGTTAAAGTGAAAAACGATACAAGAAGAACTGAACCAAACATCCAAGGCAAAGCAAAATGACTGCTGCTCAACACGGCATCAACGTCTTCCTGGTCGAAGCTGCATGAAGTGCTGCTTTAAGCTTAGAACATGTATTTTGCTTTGGAGTCCTTATACAGCAAGCAATTTGATATTATTAACTTACACATTTTTTGTTTTTAAAAAATTATAAATTTTCTGTGTAAACATATTTTTACTTGATTATTTCAAATCCAGATTTGCACTGTAAAACAAATGCTATTTGACTTGTATACTTTTCTTTATTTGAAATAAACCTGTTTTTCTTTCTCTTATCTTGAAAACAATCAAAATGAGGTCAAACTAAATATTCTAAATAATAATATTCTAAGGTTATTTTAATGGTTTAGCTTTTGAACATTTTGGACATTGCTGAGTTACTTTGGTTTCCTCCAAATAAATCTGAGAAAGACAAATGTTAAATTTTCAAATTCTGAAAAAAATCTAATTTTTTATTGAAACTTCATGATTTTTGCATATAAAAGGCAAAATCAAGTTTTTACTGGAGAATATTGCTAGATTTGCCTGGCTCAATTCTGCTACATACATTCTTACCGTAAGACGTAATTGTACTGAGGGTGCTGCAGCTCCCCTTTGTGGATGTCAAATAACGGACATGTTGAAAATATACAAAGAATAATTCAAGAATAAAACTTAAAAAACTAGTTTTGCATGGCTTTGAAGAGCAGCCTGAATGTAAATGCAAACACATTTATGTTCCTCGTTCTGGGGGATCCTAAAGCTTCTCCAGGTCAGGTGGGATACAGAATCCCTCCAGCAGGTTCTGGGTCTTTGCTGGGTTCTCCTTCCAGTGAGACATGTTCACAAGAGCTCCAGATGGAGACACTCAGGGTTCATCCTGATTAGATGCCTGAACCACATCAATGGACAGGAGGGTTTAATTCTAGCTGACAGTGAAGCAGTAGCTCTAGTGGACTTTTCCCTGGATGATGTAGCTCCTCAACGTACCTCTAAGGCTGAGTTCAGCCACTCAGCAGAGGAAACTCTTTTATCTGCTTGTATCTGGGATCTTTCTTTTGGTTATGATCCATGGCTGATGGCCACAGGTGAAGCTCAAAATGTGGATGAATTAGTAAATCAGGAACTTTGCTTTTTGGCTCAGCTTTCTTTACTGCAATAAACAGGAATAGCACAGGCATTACTGCAGAAGAAGTCCCAATCCATCTGTCCATCTCCCGTTCCATCCTACCATCACTGGTAAACAAAACACAAGGTTTTTATTTTACATACACATTTTTATGTGTATATGATATTGAAATGCAGTATTTCCTGGTAGCTCCAAGCTCTGCCAAGCTTAGATACAAATCAATATTGGTATATTTTGGTATTTAGCCAAAAAACTTGACTTTTCACACTACTGGCATACAACTAACAAATGCATAATTAAAAAGTAATGGACATTGTTATTTTATAAGGATAACACAAACAATTTCCCAGGGTGTCCTCAATATAAGGTTCCACCATCAGATAAAACAATTAATATAAAAGTGAGAAAATGCAAAGAAATGCATTTTTTTGCCACTTGCCCTTTGTGAGAGTTGCACTCTGGCCCACTCTCATAAAGGGCTAGAGTGGGCGAGAGTGGATTTCCTCTCCCCCTTTGTGTTTTTGTGGAGGTGTGAGTCTTTAAGATGGACTACTAAATGTTACCATCAAAACATTTTGATTTAAATTTTTAAAAATCTTCAGCTGAAAGAAGAAGGAAGTATTCATGCAAGAACCACAACTTGCATTGGCTCATTTATTATCTAATAAGGCAGAAATGTCAAATCTAATCCAGTTAATCTCCATTTT